ACAGGTACCCCCCACAGCGGTGGCACCACCGTGGGGACAGCCCCGTCAGTGACACCCCCTGCCACAGCCAGCATCACTGCCTGGCCAAGCACAGCTGCACTGGACCATGGCTACCGCACTGCTGCGCCCACCACGGGCATGGACACAGCTTCTCCCGTCACAGGGAGTGGGGCTGTGGGGCTGCACCCAGGGCTGCCTACTCCTGTGGCTGGGGTGGCTGGGCCAGGCACCGGTGATGCCACCCCATCAGCACGCTCTGCCCCGGGCAGCAAAAGCCCCTCAGCAGCAGCCATCGTGGGCACGGTGTCACCCACAGCTCCGGAGCTGGTTATAGCACCTTCCCCTGGCCTCACTCACAGCACTGCTGAGCCAGATGTCAGTGTGTCCCCTCCTGTCCCCAGGAACACTCATCCAGTGGTGGTGGCACCCTCTGTCACCCTCAGCATCACTGTCACTGGTCCATTAGAGGGAGCAGGTGATGCCAATCTTGATGGGGTCACAACACCTGGCTCTGCTGTCCCCAGCAGTGCCTCTGCTCCACACAGCCCCCATGTCACCCCAAGGCCATCACCTGGGACCACCAAGAGTACCCACGAGCCAGCCTTGAGGGCTCCCAGCCCAGTCGCTGAGGCCAAGCCCGTCGCCTCAGTCTCCTCGCTGGCTGTTGGCCACACAAATATATGGGAGACTACAGCCGTGTCCCAGTCAGGTGCCAGGGGTACCACTGCCTGGATGGGCACCACCCCCTCCGAGAGCAGCACCCTCGTGCCTGTCTCCCACACTGTGGGCAGAAGCCTGGCCATCACAGCAGCCACAGGCCTGTTCCTCAGCAACACCATCCCGCCGGCCACCTCAGCCAGCGGGGAGAGCTTTGTGGTGGCCGAGGCCACCGCAGCTGTGCCATCTGCCATTGCAAAGGACACCAGCAGTGCTCCGTTCCTTGCTGTAACACAGGACGAGGCAGGCGGAGGCAGGCGACCTGTCCTATTCCCAGCAGCACGTACCTCCTCAGCGGAGAAAACTGCCATGTCCTGGGGCATCCCCAGTGCCAGCCCTGCTGTCACGGTGCCCAGTTCACCCCTCTCCAGCCCACACAGCCCAGCAAAGGAGCCAGCAACAGCCCCCTCATCACTTCACGGCGTTGGTGTAACCGGGGAGCCAGAAGCTGGGCACATCCGTCCCAAGCTGGCAACAGACACGACTTCTCCCATGGCTGTCAGCAACCATGCCATGGGACAGGCAGTGAGCACGTCACCTCCTGGCTTCCAGACATCTCCAGGGGCACCCACCTCGGAGGAGAACACAGCCAGAGCTGCAGGTAGCTCTGGGGCAACTGCTGCAAGGAACACCATGGCCATCCCTGCAAGGAACACCACGGCCATCCCTGCAAGGAACACTACAGCCATCCCTGCACGGAACACCAGAGTCATCCCTGCAAGGAACACCACAGCCATCTCTGCAAGGAACACTACAGCCATCCCTGCATGGAACACCAGAGTCATCCCTGCGAGGAACACCACGGCCATCCCTGCATGGAATACCATGGCCATCCCTGTGAGGAACACAACAGCCATCCCCACAAGGAACACCACAGTCATCCCTGTGAAGAACCCCACGGCCATTCCTACATGGAATACCATGGCTGTCCCTGCAAGGAACAACACAGCCATCCCTGCATGGAATACCACGGCCATCCCTGCAAGGGACACCACAGTCATCCCCCACAGCCACCCCTGCGAGGAACCCCACAGCCATCCCCGCAAGGAACACCATGGCCATCCCCGCAAGAAACACCACAGCCATCCCTGTGAAGAACACCACAGCCATCCCTGCATGGAATACCACGGCTGTCCCTGCAAGGAACACCACAGCCCTCCCTGCATGGAATACCATGGCCATCCCTGCAAGGGACACCACAGTCATCCCTGTGAGGAACACCACGGCCATCCCCACAAGGAACGCCACAGCCATCCCCGCAAGGAACACCACATCCATCCCTGTGAGGAGCACTGTGGCTGTTGCACCCACAGCCCCAGTGAGCCCAACCAAGGAGGCGGGGGATCTCCCAGCCCCGGACATTGTGGCACCGGGAAGACCACCAGCCACCACCCCAACTCCTGCATTTGGGACACCGAGCGGACCAGCTACAGCACCAAGCACATCTGCCCATACCACCGCTGCCCACAGAACTCCTGCCCCTGAGCCCCGACCCACCCGTGGGCTTATGAGTAAGTACATTTTCTTCTTTCCAAAGCAAAGAGGGGTTGTCAGTCAAGAGCACCGTGATGGCTGAGGGCACGGCCCGGGTACCTTGTCTGCATTGCATGTTGGGCTGCCAGATTCGTGGGGAAAGGTGGAATAGGACTTCTGAGAGCATCCTAATCCAAGTTAAAAATTGGGTTACAAGCCATCAGGGTGCTGGACCATCCTGGGAGGGGGCACAGGCAAAGCAACCCAGTAGCTAGCAGGCGAGTTTGCCCTCACCACAGGAAGGATGCAGAAGACATTAATGGTTTTTCACCTTTTTGATTTATTTTCTGCCCATGTCAGTGCCAGCAGTCCAGCTCTACCCCTTTGGCACAGAGGGAGGAGACCGAGAGTATGTCCAGAAGATGTTGGATTTTAACTCCCCCCTGTTCAAGCCAGAGATTGGGTTCCCCTTTGGGAAGTCGCTGCGGGATGCTCTCTACGTGAGTTCCCCCCTCTCCGAGCACGTAAGGGATGTGCAGCCTCTTTGGTAGAAAAAAAACCCACAGAAATGGAGCAGACACCACATTTCATCCAAATGTTAATTTTTTCCCAATTTAAAATGTTTGGTTTCTGCTCACCCACGGGGGTTAAAAGCCATCCCAAGAGCTGCCTGTGACATCAGCAAATACTAAGTTATTTTGGTTAGTTCACAGATAACGGACAGATCATTTTCCCACCCACGGACAACTACGTCCCCTCCAACCCCAACCCACCACCCTGGGGCTTCAGCGGCCAGGAGGGTTTGCCGATGGTGGCCGCCTTTTGGGACGATGCAGATTTCTCCCAGGGTGTTGGCAGCACCTGGTACCAGGTCAGGGCCACCAAAGATGTTGTCCTGGGAGAGCCCAGTTCCCAGCTCACCTGTTTAACCTTCTTCCTTGCCAACCCATAGGAGTACTCCACCCTCAGCTCGACCTGGAACCCCCTTGTCCGTGATGTGGAAGCAAAGATTGAGAAATACTTGAAAACACCCTACGTAGCAAAATGGACCTTGAAAGTGACGTGGGAGAAGGCTCCAGCATACCCATCCCAACGGGATGACACTCAGGTGAGGAGTGGGGGACCCAGGTGATGGAGGGGACTGTCACCAGTGATGGCAGGGGCAGGGCGGGCTGCTGGTCTCCCGTGTTTGATGTCGGCACTTTGGATCTCACTGCCTCAGTCTGTGCTGCGGGGAGAGCAGAGGAGGCTTTGGGGGTGCAAAGGGGGTGCCTTGGGTTTCTCCAGACGAGCACCTACCAGGCAGTCCTCACCACCGATGGGAACCGTTCCTTCGCCCTGCTGCTCTACCAGGATGGCGGGATGCGGTGGGACTATGCCAAGCTGGCTGCGGGCAACGTGCTGATCGGTTTCTCCAGGTGCTGTGCATGTGTCTTGGGACAGCAGGGATTTCTCCCAGCACCATGTTGGGACTATGGGAGGCCTCAGAAGAGCTCAGCTCCCACCCCCAGAGAAACCCTGTTCTGTTCAAACCCTCTATCCTGCAACTGCAGCAGTTCCCGCTCTATGGGGTGTGGAGAAGGGTTGTGCTGGGAGCGTGACCCCAAACCTCCTCTCTCCACACAGCGGCGATGGCTATGCCCAAAATAACGAGCTGACTCGAAAGCCACCAGCTGTCAAGTACCGACCGGACCAGCACAGCAGTGCCGGCACCGGTATGGCACCAGGGGAGCCCTTCGGGTGGGTGGGGATGGAGGGAGCCATGTGTCCCACACCGGGACCACGTCCCCAGCACGCATCCCTGCGAGGCCATGGGCCAGCAAAGCCACTGACTGGGCAAAGGCTGGCCACCAAGAGCAAAGCACGGGCGTCCCGTGTCCTGCCATGGCCACGCCGGCTCTAGAGGGAGCCTGGAGATGGCTCTAGAGGGAGCCTGGAGACTTCGTGTGAGGTCAATGGCCAGGGACAGTTGTCCCACGGGATCCCCCTCAGCACAAGGCGAGACCCCGGCCAAGCGGTGCTGTTGGCTGGTTGCTCCCCCAGGTGTGCGCGGGCTCTGGATATACAGGCTGGACA